GTGGTAGAGCGCTAGCCTTGAGCTGAAGAGCTGAGGGACAGCACCCAGGCCCAGAGTTCAGGCCCCACAACCGGACCCAAAAAAAAAAGAATTTCAGTCCAGGCAGGGTAGGCTGAGCAAAAAGCAAGACCCTATCTGAAACTAATCAGAGCTGAGAGGCTGGAGGCGTGGTTCAAATGGTAGAATGTCTGTCTACCAAGTGTGAAGCCCTAAAATCAAAGTCAATTAGTACCCAGCCCCCCCCAAAAAAAAACCCCGAAAAGATAAATATATATGATTCAAGTTGGGAGATAAAAGTGTAAAGGCAAACAGCTCAGAATAGGCTAGAGATGTGATAATCTCTGAGATGAGTCAGGAAAAGTATCCAGTGCCAGAGACATTCCTTAGGGCCTGTCTTGTGTGGTGGGCAGATACCCAAGATCCAGACTTTCACTACCTGCCTTAGTATAGAAGGCTTGAACTCATGGCCTGGGCACTGTCCCTGAGCTTTTTCATTCAAGGTTAATGCTTTATCACTTTGAGCCATAGTGCCACTTCCAAATAATCATTTTCTTAACATCCTTGTCTGCATAGGGAAGGGTGGACTAAAGCCTCAGAACATGTCACGGTCAAGTTCCACCAAATAGCCTCATACTCCGTTTGAGTGTGGTGTGGAGCTGAGCGTGTCATTTCTGCCAGCTGGGATGAGGGCAACTCTCTCCACCAGAGGAGCTCCTGGTAGAGTGACTGCTGCTCAGGAAAGTGCGGTGGGCAGAAGGCAGAGCTCACACAGGCCGGTCCATTAGAGACAAGTACATCACAGCCGGGTTCTTTTTTTTTTTTCCCCCCAGTCCTGGCACTTGAACTCAGGGCCTGGGGACTGACCCTGAGCTAGCACTCTACCACTTAAGTCACAGAACCACTTCTAGCTTTCGTTTATGTGGTAGTAAGGAACTGAACCCAGGGCTTCATGATGTTAGGCAAGCACTCTACCACTAAGCCACATTGCTAGCCCAGACAGCCAGGTTCTTTCAAATCATCTTTATCTCCTCTTGGTGCTCTGCTTCTAGGAGAAAAATATTTACCACTACAAAACAATCCATTTTCATATAGCAAGGAAAATCAAACCCAAACAAAACACCCAAAAACAAAACCCCAGAGAATATGTGTGTGGGAATCCCCAGAAAACTGCCTCTTGGGAGTAAAAGGAATTGTATCCCCTGGACATATCATACCTACTCTGATTTGTAACTACCAATCCTCAAAGAAAAGATAGCAATAAATCTAATCCACAAGGCTCTTGTAAAAAGGCATCTATTTGGCTCTTAGTACAAAATGACTCAGAGAAACATAGAAAGAAAATATCATACAAGCCAGTTACTGAATTAAAAACAAACAAAAAGAAAAATGAACCCCCAAACCCAACAAATTGCATTTGTCCTTCTGAAAAAACTTATTATTATATATATATTTTTTTTAAAAAAGGGAGAAAACAGTCCCTGAAAGCTGGCAGGTGGCACTGGAGGTCCCTGGGGCTTGTCTCAATCATCTTGCTCAAACAACTGCTGTAATATAGCTGCACTTCTGCTGCTTGCTGGTAACGACCACTGAAGGGAGGAGCTCAGTCAGGGTGCCACTGGACGCCCGTTGATTAAGCAGCTGGGAGCCTCCAGGTCAAGCAGTCTTCCATCCACCTTCACTGGATCTCTCCCATGTACAGTCTCTTGTCACTGGATGCCGAGAGAACTGAGGCGAAAGAGTAGAGAAGAGGATTGGAAATGATCGATAAAGGCTCTGAGAGCCTGGGCGCTCAAGGGCTCTTGTGTCAAGTGCCAATTTTGGTATTTGAGAACAATTGGGCTGAGCTTGGATTTCCCCCTAAACACCATCCATAGGACACTAGCCTGGCTTTTTAATCTAAGTCCTCAATGTACATCATCAGGCTCTAATTCCTGATGTCCTTTGTTAGTCAAATTCCCAAGAGATCTTCCCAATCACTCCAGAAGAATGGATGTCAGTGCCGGTCACCTTTATAAATGCTATATGTTATATTTAGCTGTGGAGAAAGTTATGTTTTCTTTTTAAATTTAAGGCCCATTATTTGGTTTCACTAGCTAATACAATGTGAGCCATGATTTGTATGAAACATCGTTTTTATCTGTAGTCCCAGCTACTTTGGGGGCTGAGACAGGAGGTTCACCTGAGCTCCAGAGTTCATGGCAAGCCTGGGACACATGGAAAGACCATGTTCAAAGCCAGACAAGAAGCAAACAAAAAGCAACAACAACCTCCATACAACCATATATCTAAATATTGAAGCATAAACTTGAAGCAAGGAAACACAAAAGGATGAGACATGGTCTAGCCAACCTTTATTCCTTTCCTTACTGGTAAGGACACCAACAGCAAGGCTATCATAGCTACCTACGAAGATTATTTGCATAGAAATTCACAGAAACAGATGCCTGTTCCTATTTCAGTATTCACAAGGCCTCACTATGGAGATTGCCCCAGATCCTCTTTCCCAATAGACAGGACAGACTTACTGATGGGCTCGTCCGGGTGGAAGGCTACTTCATTGATGGAGCCAGCATGGCCAGGCAGCTTATACAGGATTCTCCTGCTGGTAGTGTCCCACACATACACAAACCTGCAAGGTGCCATAAGAACACTGGTAAGGCCCCAAGGGTAGGGTTAGGGCAGAGGGATGGCTTGCTAACGGATATGAAAAGTAGCTGTTTATTCACCCCATATTTACTGAACTGCACACATATTCAGTGATTTTTAGAAACCAGGAACAGAGTTTGAGTAAAGACATGGACCCCGCTCTTGAGCACCTGAGTGAAAAACTAGGAATAGCTGCATATAGAAGCATTCCTGGCATTCTCAAACCCAGCTTCTGGATGGCAAAGACTGAAAAGATGAAAAATCAAGTTCCCCTGGGACCCCACACAAACACCACCTCAAAAACCACCAGGGATAACTAAGCAACAATCAACATTATAACTAACTAGAAAGTCTTAAAGGTAACTGAACCATTGCAGAGGTAGAGAGGTTTATATCTAACTGAGCTCCTACTGTATTCAAACCACTGTACTGAAGTGCAACTTTAAACCCCAGTGCCATCCTATGTCCCCCAACAAAAAACAACCCACAAAGTAAAACACTGCATGATAGTGCTCTACTCAATTTGTAGTATTGTATTCTAGCAAAGCCCGAGAAAGGTCAAGAAATTTGTTATAAAAACATAACCTAAGGCCAGGCACCAGTGGCTCAGGCCTGTAACCCTCACTACTCAGAAGGCTAAGATCTGAGGATCCCAGTTCAAAGCCAGCCCAGGCAGAAAAGTCAGTGAGACTATTTTTGTTGGTGGTGGTGGTGGGGCTTTAACTCTGGGCCTACTGCCCCTCAGCTCTTTAGCTCAAAGCTAGTGCTCTACCACTTAAGCCACAGTGCCACTTCCCATTTTCTGGTGGTTTATTGGAGATTAGAGTCTTATAGACTTTCTTGTCCGGGCTAGCTTTGAACCTTGATCCTCAGATCTCACTCAGCCTCCTGAGTAGCTAGGATTACAGGCGTGAGCCACCGGCACCCGGCTTGCCTCTCTTCCTCTTGTACATTCCTGTTGTGGAACACATTTTCTGCTATGCCTATTAACTCAGTTAAGTTTTTCCCTTCAAACCCCTCAATCTTCTGGAGTTTTTTTTTTTTTTTCTTATATCTGTGGCTGACTGGCTAGCAAAGGCAAGGTTAATTGTTCTTAGATTTTCAGGTACCTCGGGTGCACTGGGCTATACATTTTATAGGCCTCCATGAGCCTTTTCAGAAAAGCCCCCAGGGACTCATTCTTACCTTGATCACCGCAGTAATCTTAGTAAATTATGGGCCTCCAAGCAGCCTCACGAGTCCCTCCAACAGAGTCCGGCAGTAGACTTGGAGGCTCTCCTTACCTTCGTTGGTGTTTGGGTGCCAGTCAGGGGGCTCTCTTGGGCAGTAGTCTTTCATTCGCTGGGGGACTCATCCCAACCTCTCAGTTATCACCTTATGTGTTTTCCTCATAATGCAATCCCTTTCCTCCACGTTAAAGAGGGCCATAAGAAGCTGTTAGATGTCCACCCAGGTGGGCTGGTGGGTAAGGAAGACAGTTTCCAAGAGACTAATCACGTCCTGGGGGTGGGCAGAGAAAGACAGGCTGAGCTTTCCAATTATAGATGTCAGAAGAGAAAGGAATATAGGTTAGGCGGGAGCGCCCTCTCCTGTCCGGTGGAGCAACATCTCCAAGAGGCAGCAACGGGAGAGGGTGGCAGAAGAAGGAGGGAGAAGGGGAAGGGCCTGGGTGTGGTATAGGAAAAGGAGAGGATGAGAGGCTGGGGTGAGGGGAATCCTTGAGATCAGCCGCCACATATGCAGCTCCTGACTGAGTGTGGGTGGGCTAGTAAGAGGAGTATGGGGTCTAGAGGAGGAATAAGTGTGTGTGTGGGGGTCTAGATCTTCTATGTCCAATGGGGCAGAACGGTCTTTTTAGATTTTTCCTCCTCTTCCTTTTCTGATTCTGGAGATCTGACCTGCCTCAGAGGGAGAGAAACGGTTCTACTAGCAGGGGGAAGGTGAGGCTTTAACCATGATGGCAATTCTTCCACAAGGTATTGCCAGGCCACGATGTATGGTGTCTGGTCCCGATGGAAGTAAAAAACTTTACTCTGGGTAGAGTAGATTTGGGCCAAGGCAAATGTTCCTTCCAGTGGCCATTCTGTAAAGTGGGCCACTCCAACTGGGAGAGTGTTTTTAGTTTTTCTGGATATACTCTGTCAACCGACTGGGTGGCTTTTCCTTGAAATGCTGGAGAACAAGATTTAGGGGTGTCACAGATTCCTCACTCCCTGCTTGTCCCATTTCTTCATACACAACAAACAACATACAGACAACAGAAAGACAAACAGAGACAAAGGACAAAGACAACGGCAGACCCAGCGGCTCTTCCTAGACAAGATGTTAAATCTAAAGACAGACAGGATGTAATCCCAACTCAAAAAATGCAAGCTGAGGGCTGGGAAGGTGGCTCAGTGGTAGAGCGCTTGCCTTGCATGCATGAAGCTCTGGGTTCGATTCCTCAGCACCACATAAGAAAAAGCTGGAAGTGGCACTGTGGCTCAAGTGGTAGAGTGCTAGCCTTGAACTGAAGAGCTGAGGGACAGCGTCTAGGTCCAGAGTTCAGGTCCCAAATCCAGCAAAAAAAAAAAAAAAAAAGCAAGCTGAAGCCAGGTGTCAGAGGCTCATACCTATAATCCTAGCTATTGTGGTTTGAAACCTGCAAGGGCAGAAAAATCTGTGAGACTCTTTTTTTTTTTTTTTTTTGTCGGTCATGGGGCTTGAACTCTGGGTGCTGTCCCTCAGCTCTTCAGCTCAAGGCGAGCGCTCTACCACTTGAGCTACAGCGCCACTTCCGGTTTTCTAGTGGTTTATTGGAGATAGGAGTCTCACAGTCTTTCCTGCCCGGGCTGGCTTTGAACTGCGATCCTCAGATCTCAGCCTCCTGAGTAGCTAGGATTACAGGCATGAGCCACCAGCACCCGGTGAGA